TCTCTGGGATTCAGTTTTCCCTTCTATACAGTGAAAGTTGGAACTAGATTAGAGATGGCTACTAGTTTTCAATCATGTACCAATATTGATTGATTGATTGGGACTGCCTGGAGAACTGTATTAAGAAGGATTCTGTCCTCTGCAGGAAAGAACATCATGATAGATTAACAGTGTCTATATGGGGTGAGGGAGGGGATAGTGACTGCATATATGACATATATTCATCATCCTGGACTAGATGATGTCATCTGGAAGTCTGCAAATATATGATTCATTTTTCTTTCAAGTGTTCATCTAAAGATTCATTCATAGCAATTGAGAGACTGTACGCATGTAAGAAAGAAGAAGCTGGTTTAGATTGCACAAAGACCTGCTGCAATCCACTGGAGAACTGAGGGGGCTTCAGGAGAAAGGGAAGCATAGCCTTCCTCCTTGAGAAGGAAAGAGGATTCTAGGAGGGTCTCAGTTTGGAGGGGATTAAGTTATCTGGGCACCTCCGTCTTAGGTAAGACCAAAACTTGTCCTGATCCTCTGAGCAATAGGGTTGATGACTGCCAACAAAATCTAGTTATAACCATCCCAGCCTTGTCAAGTGGGTGACCCTCTATGGGAATGTGGGAGTGCTCTCAGAAGCAAGTTTAAGGGTGTTAGAAGCTAACGCTGATGTGAAGGTGATTTCAGAGGGAGCCTCGTTCTAATTTATGACTTAACACTTAAAAGTTTTTGAAATGAGGAAGAAACTTAAGAGGTGACCTAAGTAAAAGTTTTCATGGAAAAAAAAAAGATTTCCATCATCAAATTAAATGCAAAAAATACTAGAAAGAGGTTTGTGTCCTCACTGCAGGATTTCTCAGAGCCTCTAATGTGTGTTATTATGAATCTCCAAGAGGGAGATATGGGTCCCAAATTTACTGGACCATAAAACCCTTATGTCACAAGTCATACATGAACATTTTGCAGAAGTAATGTTTTTGCAATAAAATTTGAGATTCATCGATCTAAAATGAACTCATTCTGTAGTTAAAAAAATGGACCCAGTGAGAGTGTGGCTTAACTAGTTTGTTTGTGGCAGAACCTAGATAGAACTCATAATTCTTAGTCCAGTACTTTTTCTCTTAAGAAAAATAACCCACTTTTTATTGCATATTTACTAAGATAGGTCCTATGCTAAGTTTCTTGAACATGTGCTCTCATTATTTTATAAGGGCCCTGCAAGTTAGATATTAGTATTACCATTTTACAACTGAGGAAATTAGCTTTAGGGAACAATCTCAAATGGTAGATTTAGGATTCAAATGATTCTAAACCTGGTAGCTCAATTGGTAAAGAACTGCCTACTGTTCTAGAGACCCAGGTTTGATCCCTAGATTGGGAAGATCTCCTGCAGAAGTAAATGGCAACCCACACCAGTATTCTTGCTTGGAAAATCCTATGGACAGAGGAGCCTGGTGGGCTACAGTCCATGGGGTCGCAGGAGTTGGACACGATTTAGCGACTAAACTACAAACTTGCCGAAAGCATTCCCTGATATCATTTATCTTTTCTTTTTGCCCTTGACCCAAGCAGTTTAACTTTCCATTCAAAATACAGTCAGCCTTTTCATACCTGTGATGTTGTCATAATTCCGGAAGGTCTTTTCTACATGGTCCCATTCAAGGAAAATGCACTTTCCAGTAAAAGGCTGAGCGATGACGACATACTCATCGTTCATATAAGAAAAAGTATCTATGGACAGTGATTGATAAGGCAGGTCTTGAGACTTTGCAAACTCTACAAAAATTGAAAATGATGATTAGTAGCTGTGCTAATGCCTCATTTGTTGGCTAGATCTAAAATGTCCATAAGAAATACATTTATTCTAGAGAAACAGTAAAATGGTCATTTTACTTTGCTTTTAAACACATGAAGTTTTAATGGTTCATAATATCTTTAAATTGCTCAGTTGGTTTTTAATGTATAAAAAATATCAGTTCCTGCATATGTAAAAAAAAAATATAACCCTTAGTTTAATTTTATGAGATGGAATAATTTGGAATACATTACCTGTAATGATGCAATCAAAATCCTTAGAGGAAAGACTATTGATTTTGCGCTTCTTGTATTCCGGAGGGCCTTCACAATAGATGTCTTCAACAGTTGCATTGGTGTGGCTTAGCCATTCCACCAGCCACTTCAGTTTACAGTCACAATTAAATGAATTACCTCTCAGGTCACTGAAAGACAAACTTCAGCTGCTTTTGATATACAAGGGTCCTTCCTTCACAGGCATGACTCTTACCATAGCAATTACATGAGCAGGATGCCCTCACCTGGTTTTATATCATGCCTCATAATCTACCTTGAACCTGTCTGATCATTCAATTTGGGCTCAGAGAGGACCACAGTGCACCCTTGCAAGCCACCCCAGTCAATGGAACCTCATAACTTACTCCCTCTTGGATTCAAAGGTAGTTCAGTCTAGAGCTGTGCTGTCCATAGGAATACAATGTGAACCATATATGTAGTTTAAAAATTTTCTATAGACACATTAAAAAAGTAAAAAGAAACAGATGAAATTATTTTTAATATCATATGTTATGTAACCCAAAACACACAGAATTTTATCATTTTGACATATAGTAATATGAAAATTACTTATGAGATATTTTGCATGCTTTTTCTATACTAAGTCTCTGTGGAGTCCAATGTGTATTTTATGCTTACAGTATATCTCAATTTGGATAATAAAATTTCAGCAGAAGTTCCTGATTTGTGTTTAGATTTAATAAAATTCACAGTTGAAAAAAAAAAAGATTCATACACCCAATTTGTTCCAAGCATACTTAAAAGTTTTCCAATAATTGAACAGAAAAATCAGTTCTTAAATTTAGTTTTTTATTTGATTTTTTTTAAAAAAATTAAGTAAAATTTAAAGTTCAGTTTCTCAGTCACACTAGGAACACATTTTAAGTGTTCTGTGATCACATGTGCGGCTACCATATTGGGCAACATGGGTTCTAAAACACAGAATGTAGTGACTGTTGGGCCATATTTAATTAAATCAAGTGAGCTATTTGCTTTTCTTCTTCTTCACAGATGTAATTAATCCTGATCCTATTCCATGGTCTTCAAATTCAATTTTAATAGGAAATGACTTCGATACAGCCGAGTTAATGCAGACATACAATAGCTCATGCCCATAATAAACTGCACAGCACAGATAGTTTAAATTTCCACATATGATCCCAACTCATCAGTTCTCTGTTTATTTGCATTGTTTCTGCTCAGAAACCCAATCTCTTTCCTAAAACTCGTCTCTGTCACATAGAATTCCTAAGATAGGTATTGTCTACTTTTCACACAGCACAAGAATAATTTTTAAGTGTTGGATCACTTAAAAATGTGTTTTAAGGAATAAAGAAAACCAAGAAATCTACTAAAAGGCATATTGGCATGGATCCTTGTACTGCTTAAACAATTCTTGATTTGGGCGTATCAAGGTAGGCCAAACCCATGATAGGATTCCTTGGAGAAACTGAGCCCTTTTCAAGTGATTTTTCTTTTGCTAGCCTTCGGTTTAGACTGACATAATGTTGGGCCAGAGGGTCTGCAAACAAGCTATATCCCCAAGTCTGCCATGGAGTTATCTAACTTGCAAGACGTTCGTAAGACAGACTTCATATCCCAAGACTACTCTGACCCAGAAATAATGAGTGTCAACTTTTCTAATCTATTGCAAACCAGAGTGGATAACTGTGGTCTGTCCAAGACTCTTTGGAAGTGTCCTGATTCTGACACTCTCTTGGAAATAAACCATCTTTCAGGAATTGGGGTAGTAGGCATGGAGGAGGGGCTGGGGGAGTACTACAAGGAACAAAGAAAGTTTTTCACTAGCTAGCTGATTTGATGTTAAATACTGGGTTTAGGCGAGGATACTTGACTCAAATTTTGTTGGAGAAAAGTTGTTTTGAATATATATTCTATAGCAAAGGACCTGATAAATATGGTTGTTTTCACACATCTTTCATTTGTTCCTATGTTCTACCTTGTGGCATTTAAATACCTTTCTAATGTTTTGGAAGGCACTTATTGAAGCTAAATTGCTTTTGAGACGGTTAGGCATACATTACTTGCTTTGCTTACTGCAAAATATACAAATTCCTTCCAAAGATCTTTCACTCTGAGGCTTAAAAGTCAAAGTTTGAAAGCTCTTTTGTTTGAAAAAGGGTCAAAAATAATTAAGTTCATTCCCTTCCTGGGGCTTAAGCCAAATTCCTGGGGATTAAGCCTAGGGTTGTTGTTCAGAGTAATGAGAGAAAAGGCAAACTTTTCTCCCTTCCCCCACTTCCTGCTCCGTTTCTCTGTTGACTGACCAACCCATGGGTGTAACCTTTCATCTTTATTCTGTCAGTTACCCAGACTTCTTTGTGTTTTTCCTTTGTAGCCCCATTTCCTGAACCCCGTGAGAAAAAAAAAGGCTTCTTGAAATTTCTATCTAGCTCTCCTCTTCCCCTGTCTCCCCCCAAGTCGCTCATCATCAGTCCCTCCCATACAGACACACACTTTATCAAAGGAAAGCTTAGGGTTACGTTTTCAAACTATAGTGGAAGAAACCCTAGGAGACTCAAACAGTAGTCCAACTAAATTCAAAATTTAAGACAAATTAAAATTTTAAATTTCTCATTTAATTTAAAGCCAATTAAAAATTTTAATAATCAACACCAGGCTTCTTTGTTAACTACTGCAAATTAGTTAATTAATCAGTGATTTCTTAGGTCCTCTTACACATTTGTTAAAGAATCCAGGCCTTTGAAAATATCTTTTGGGAGAGTCTGGAGATTGTTGTTTGCAAGGCTCCTGGAAAAAAAAAAGAGTAACGTAAACTGTAGTCATAAACAAAATACATGCATTTATGGCCCTTTTTGTATTATGGTATTAAACAAAATGAACAAGGAAACACTCCAAAATACCAGTAACAAAACAATGCCTGGGCATGGGTCTTTCTATTTATTTAGCACCGAATGGAGCATCACATTCTCAGACAACTAAAGGTTGTCTTCCCGTGTCTGTCGTCTCCATGCGCTGCCCCCTCACACTCAGGCCGCCCTTCTCCTCCTTCCCTCCCCCCACTGGCTCCAGGAGCAGCTCAACCACCAGCTCTTAGAACCCACAGCTCTCAAACTTGGAGGCCTGTCTAACTACTCCCACTCCAGCACACTCTTTTTTCCTGTTCTTTTTCTACGTGTTTTTCCTTTTTAGCTCCATTCATTCATCCCTCCTTAGAAAATAGCTTCCTCATAAATATCCATCTATCCAATTATCCATTCATCCTGTTTAATCATCTCCTTTTTTCCCTTCTTCCAGTTCTTGCCCTATTATCACAGGAATTGTTTTCTCCTTCTCTGTTTGTTCTTTCACGTATTGCTAAAATGATTCTGATTCTAGTCAAGAGTAATGAGCAGGAAACAGTCCTGATAGTATCAAGGAAAAGGTCATGTGTCCACACTGCAGAATTGTGCAAGTAACCGGGAGCAGATACTGTATGACCGGGAAGGGTGACTAGGTACTGGTGATTTGTCTTTCATCAGTACTATACATATACTTGCATTTCTCAGATGGCTCAGTGGGTAAAGAACCCACCTGCCAATGCAGGAGACTCAGGTTCAATCCCTGGGTCGGGAAGATCCCCTGGAGGAGGGCATGGCAACCCACTCTAGTATTCTTGCCTGAAGAATCCCATGGACAGAGGAGCCTGTCGGGCTACAGTTTATAGGGTCACAGAGTTGAACTGAAGCGACTGAACATGCATACATACGTATACATGTTATATACTTAGAAGCAGTTTTAATTTTCACAATAAAAATGGAAAATTAAAACAAAGGAGCCTATGCTGTCGGCCTCCAAAGCTCTTGAAAATTCTCTCAAATTCATCTTAAAACACTCTCAGAAGTCTTCTGTTTCTATGTCTTCTAATTAGTACGGGATTTCTCAAGTGCATTAAGGACACTTAAAACCTATTTTTAAGTTAATTATGTTGTTTTTCTGAGTTTTGGAAATTACCACTAGACTAGATTAGAAAACTTTTTCAATGAACCTTGGCACAAAAGAAAGGGAACTGAATCAGAAGGTTTCGGTCTCAGTGACAGTCCATTTTGTGATGAAGGGCATAGCTTTGGAGTCATTCTGAGCTGTTTGAATCCTGACTCCACTATTTACTGGCTGTGTGACTTTGGTTATGTACCTTCTCTGCAACTCAGTTTTTTTCATTTTTAAGTGGAGGTATAATACCTCATAAGAGTGTTTTTAAAAAATGCAGTATCTCAGGATGGTAGCTGGTATGTGGACTGCTTTCAATAAAGGGCATTTGGGAGGAGGGGACTGGAAAGAGAAGGGCTTTCGTGTGATCATTGCCCCAAAACATCATTTAGAAAACTGACCGTACAAGTGAACTGCTGTGATTGTCTACCTACATAGTATTAAGAAAATGCTGCTAAAGAAGATTTTGCAAGAGAACATCTCCACAATTCCTTTTACTGACTGGTGGTTGAATGAAGAAATTTCTTGGTGTCTTGGACCAGTCTAGAGTCACTCTTGTTTCTATGTCTTCTAATTAGTACGGGATTTCTCAAGTGCATTAAGGACACTTAAAACCTATTTTTAAGTTAATTATGTTGTTTTTCTGAGTTTTGGAAATTACCACTAGACTAGATTAGAAAACTTTTTCAATGAACCTTGGCACAGAAGAAAGGGAACTGAATCAGAAGGTTTCGGTCTCAGTGACAGTCCATTTTGTGATGAAGGGCATGGCTTTGGAGTCATTCTGAGCTGTTTGAATCCTGACTCCACTATTTACTGGCTGTGTGACTTTGGTTATGTTCCTTCTCTGCAACTCAGTTTTTTTCATTTTTAAGTGGAGGTATAATACCTCATAAGAGTGTTTTTAAAAAATGCAGTAACTCAGGATGGTAGCTGGTATGTGGACTGCTTTCAATAAAGGGCATTTGGGAGGAGGGGACTGGAAAGAGAAGGGCTTTCGTGTGATCATTGCCCCAAAACATCATTTAGAAAACTGACCGTACAAGTGAACTGCTGTGATTGTCTACCTACATAGTATTAAGAAAATGCTGCTAAAGATTTTGCAAGAGAACATCTCCACAATTCCTTTTACTGACTGGTGGTTGAATGAAGAAATTTCTTGGTGTCTTGGACCAGTCTAGAGTCACTCTCAAGTTATGCATATCAATATATTTGCTGGCACAATTGTGTCCTACAGTCCTTATGCTAACTTCTCCTAAGTGGATGTCCCTCTCCCAGACACCAGCACAAAGTAAACTGGCTGCAGGATGCATGCTTGGAGTAGGCTGGGTTTTAGAACAGTGGGAGGGAAATGATAAAACAGTCTAGTCCTGAATTACTGCAGCCATTAAGTTTACCAAGGAAGAGACACCTGTTTTCCTTGCTGCCCAACGCAGTTCTTTGAAAGAGCCGGTGAACTGAGAGTTCCACTTTCTCCCTGAAGAATAAAGCTGTAGACCTCACATAGCCAGGGTGTTAACAATGAACTTCATAGATACAGAGAACAAATTGGTGCCTGCTGGAGGTGAGGTTAAGGGGTGGGAGAAATGGGTGAACTGCATTTTGTTTGTTTTGGTCTAAAAAAAAAAGATTTTAAAATTCCAAAATTAAAAAAAAGAAAGAGTCAATGCGCTTCACTACAGGTTTTATTAAGGGGTAAGAATGCACTGTATCTGGGTAGCTGATGAGGGGTAGAATTGGTTGGGAGTGGAGTGAAGACAGGGAAGTGAGACATTTCACTGATGTTAATTGTTTTCTAGGATTACTCCGCATCGAGTACTAGAAGGATGTTTGTCTTATCACTATATCCCCAGTGCCTGACATAATGTAAGTCCTCAACAGCTGCTTTTAAATGAATAAATGATTGAATGAATGAGTGGATGAATGGGACAGGCTTGAATGGATAAGAGAAAGGGCACCAATCGAGACAGAAAAAAAGGGCAGAGAATGCGTCTCAGGCCCCATACACCAAGACACTGAGTTAGGGAGAAACTGCAAAGCCCTGTGAATTACCATTGCCTTACCCTGACATCACGTGCTCCTGATGCTCACAAAGTTCCCTCCCTCCTCTGAGCCTGGGATCCTAGTTCCTGGCCAGGGTTCAAACCCTGCTGTGAAAGGGCCAAGTCCTCACCACTGGACCGCCAGGGAATTCCCTAGGAGGCTTCCTTTAATTTTTTTTTTTAACTTGGCTGCACCAGGCCTTAGTTGCACCATCAGGGGTCATTTAATTACAGCATGTGAACACTTATTTGTGACATGTGGGACTTAGTTTCCCAACCAGGAACTGAACCCAGACTCTTTACACTGGAAGCTTGGCCTCTTAGTCACTGGACCACCAGGAAAGTTCTCCTAGGAGGGTTTTTGAAAGTGTGTCTACAACTAAGCTCCATTCTCTAGGCCCTGATTCAGAATCTACCTAAGAAACATCCTTTAAAATACCTGGGAAACTGTCCAACTGAACACCTAGCTGCCTTGAGACTGGCTGAGAAGGGTCAAGCATTCTTAATGGCAGGCAGGCTTTCCTTCCCAATGGAAATGATGACCATTCCCTCCACTTTGGGCTTCCCTGGTGGTTCAGCTGGTAAAGAATAAACCTGCAATGCAGGAGACCTGGGTTCAATCCCTGGGTTAGGAAGATCCCCTGGAGAAGGGAATGGCTACTCACTTCAGTATTCTGGCCTGGAGAATCCCATGGACTGTATAGCCCATAGGGTTGCAAAGAGTTGCACACACGACTGACTGACTTTCACTTTCACTCCACTTTGGTGTTTTCATGGTTTACCTGAGAAAACCTCTAATTATAGAGCATGGAACCTACTGGAAAGTCTTCTTGCTAAGGCAGACCAGACTGGCTCAGACAGCACGTTTGTTTCAGTGCCACTGGGCTCTGCTGCTAAGAAAGCTTCGCCCACGGCCATCTGGGGTGCTCCCAGCCTCCCTGCAGTGCAGATTCTCAGCTTGAGTTGGTGTCTCACTGAATTTGCAGTACTTCAAGTGCAGTTATTTTAATTTCATACAAAATGTTTAAAGGGGATAAATACACTGCAGCATTTGGAGTCCTGATCCAGAATCAGTAGAGGTTAGGCGGCAAGGCTTAGTTTTTTCCTACATGATGGTGTTTGCTGCATACCATTCTCTGTTCTAGGTACTTTACGTAGAGTAACTGGTCTAATCTCCTGTCAGTCTTAGAATCTAGGTGTTCCTAAGTATCTTATTATTTTCCACCCCTATTTTTACAGATGACTGTTATCACTTCTGTTTTACACAAAAGAAATTGGAAGCACCGGGAAGCTTAGTGACCTGCCTGATGTCCCAGAGCTATTAATGGGTAAAGCCTGGCTTTGAACACACACAGTCTGATAGCAGAGACAACCTCCTCAGCCACTATATCCCACTGCCCTCTATACATGCTTGTCATTGTGAAGGCTTAAGTGAGGACATCCTGCCTGATTAACTGGGGACACATGGATGCCCTGAGTTTGGGGACTGCATATATATCTTTTGTACCTCCGCATTGCAGAACAACCAGTAGGTGCTTCATGACACGTATAGATCGATGATAATTTCCCCCAAATGTTTTTATACATACATGCAAACAATCCTGCCTCCACTTGACCTTAGCCACCATGACACTTATGTGATGCCCAAGGGAATCATTACTAAAACATTGTGGGTGTTAACAGAAACCAATACAAAATGTTTAAAAATTTTGTCATCATTGACCATAAACTATTTTTTAATTCATTTTCCCCCTGACTTCAGAAGTAATACATGGTTATCAGGAAAATTCAAACCTTTCTGAAATATATGAACTATTCAAACACTTAAGTTAATCATGTATACTATTAGGATAGTCATTTAGAATAATCAAGAGAGGCTCTCGGAATTTGACAGGATTTGTAAGGACTTAAATATAAGGAATTCCCTTTTGGGGGAGGGGTTGGTCTGATGGAGAGGGGAGTCTGTATAGTAAATTTTAAGTTATCTAAAAATGTCTCTTTAGAAGGCAAATCTGAGACAGATGTATAAGAAGGTGAGGTAAGTTCATTTCTTCTTTAGGAATGAACTGAATTTATATCAGTGCTCCTAAGTTCCCTTGGAGCAGCTTTAATGTTAAGCCAGAGTGGGAACTAGTTGGATCTAAAAGTGTATGTCTACTATTGTATATACTACAAAAGTACATACGTATTCTACATACCATTGAGAGTATGTTACGCGGCAGCCTGGACGGAATAAGAGTTTGGGGAAGAATGGATATATGTATAGGTATGGCTGAGAGTTGTTGCTGTCCACCTGGAACTATCACAACATTGTTAATCAGCTATACTCCAATACAAAATATTTATTTTTTAAAAAGCCAGCAAAAAAAAGTATGTGTCTAATTCCAACTAATTGCATTTGGAGACCAAAGAGTGAGGGTAGGGCTCCTGTCTTCAGGATCTTCTCTTCCTTCCCCATTTGTGTTTGCTTCTCAGATCATGTCCTGTGCAAGGACCTAGCCATCCATAAAGCTCTCTGGTCCTTCTATAATTGACATGGTGGAGACGGCACTAGAGGTCTCATTAAAGATCTTGGAAAACTTCTGGCTTTTACCACTACTCACTGGGGAGCAGCTTAAACTCAGTGCACACCTCTGAATTCTCATTTGCCAATAGGGATAGTGTCCGCCCTGTTTCTTTTTTTTTTTAATTTATTTTTAATTGGAGGAAAATTGCTTTACAATGTTGTGATGATTTATGCCATACAACAATGCAAATCAGTCATAATTATATGTAAATCACCTCCCTCTCAAGCCTCCCTCCCCTCCCGCCTTCTCGCCCTTCTAGATTATTACAGAGCACCTGGCTGGGCTCCCTGTGTTATATAGCGACTTCTCACCGGCTATCCGCTTTACACATGTTAGTGTAAATATGTCTCTGCTACTTTCTCCATAACCCTCCACCTTCTCTCTTTCATAAGGTCATCAAGAGACTGTAATGAGGTCTAGAATATGAAAAGCTTTGTAAACTCCTCCTGTGGGTTAGAGGGCAGGGTGATAATTATTTGCTACTTGAATGATTGCCTTTAATTGAGAAGAATTGGTCTGAGGAGGAGAAAAGTGCACTTTGAAACCTAAAATCTTAAAAAGAAAATCAATGGCTCAAAGAAATGTCAAATGTTTGTATAAGTGGTTAATAATGGAAAATGAACTTGATGTGCTGAACAGTCAGAGTGACATTAGGGCTTTAAATCTTCCCTATCTCTTTTTGAAAGGAAAAAAAAAAAGGTAAGGAGAAAAGAAAAAAGGAAGGAAGGAAGTACCCCTGGAAGAACAGCATAATTAGAAAGGAGGACATGATGTGGGGACTAGGCACTCAGTGAGAAAATATTTGTTTGTCTAATTCCTCTTGCTAGACTGAGCTCTTCCAGGTTGGAGCTGGATTTTCTTCATTTTTGTGTGGCACATCCTAGAGACTATTTAGGATGAACCATATGGCAATGCCATTTTTGTAGCTCAAAAACAGTCTCTTATTGGCACAGTCACTGAATCAACCTAACTATTTGATAAAAATGCAAGAAATCTAAGGGTCATATTCAATCAACTTTAACCTGTTCCCTCCTAACACCTCCCTCCTACCTCCAGCACCTGGTCCCACATTATTTAAGTGGGACTTCCCTTTTGTTGTTTGATCCTTAAGATTCATGCCTCTTTCTTTGAGGGCTGCATTATGCTTTCCCTTGAGCCTGAAAATTTCTAGACATAAGTACATGCTGTACCAATGCCTCCTTCTTATATTCTTCACACTTCTAAAGAAGGGGCCTCATAATGACCCAAATTTATATTTCCATTTCATTTGATGGACATAGTGAGCTCTAGTCAAACAAAATGGATGTTCTTCACCAGAGTGTTGTATAAATTTTTTTCTTCCTCCCTTTCCTGCCTTCCTTAACCTTCCTCTCCTTTTCCCTTCCTTTTTCTCTCTTTCATCCTTCCCTCCCATTCTTTCCATTCTTCCCTCCAGATGAGGTAGGCCTTTAGGCTAGAGAGAAGACACACTTGAGTGAACTAAGGGTCATAGCAAGGCTCTGTCCAGGTTTCCAGAGAGAACCGTGGGGTCTTAGGTTCTTCCTTCAGCCCCTCGTGATGCTCAGCCATTAATCACAGGCCATGTTGAATGGATTTAGGTGAGTCAAGTAGATCTCAGGTTGAAGTCATGAGCTTCCATTTATCTGTTTTAGTCTGAAACATCAGGCTTGGTGGCGTTTGGCTCTATAATCAAATAGCACAGCATTCCCACCATGCACAGCCAATTTTGCAGCACTTACAACATTGATGTGAAAAGCAGTGTTGCTCTTTATTTTATAGATAATATTTTCCTCATCCTTTTATAATGACTATATACAGAAGCCTTGAAAGGTGTAGTGATTTTGTAAAATACATAGGGCCATCAGTTCCCTGTTGCTGCAAATCCAAGTAACAGTAGAGATAGGAACTAGTAGAGACAGCATGAGACCATGTGGACACCCTAGAATAAAGACTCAAAGGGCAGGCATTTTTACCTGCTTCGTTACCTGGTACCTCCTGGGGTCTAGAACAGAGCTAGAAATGAGCTACTGTAAGGCAACAGGTTAAAACGGACAGAGTGACTGTGATGCTTAGATGGCTTGCCTCTTTATCTAACACTAATGAGATACACATTAGGAACTTGAGAAATAGTTGTTGAATGGATGAGTAGCCACGGCAGTTCAGCTACGGAGTTGATGTTATCATAATTCCCTAACTAGTCAGTTTACTTGTCATATATCCCCTCCAAGCTTCTGTTTCCTCATTTCTAAAGTGGGGGTTAAAAAATAAAATGGGGGTTATTGTGCCTATCTGGCAGGATTGTTGAGATAATTAAATGAAAATGCATGTAAAGAGTACTGACCATTGTAGTAGTAGACACACAACAAATGTTGGTGCTGTTTCTTCCCATGTCCTTCTGTTTTCATTAAAAATACATGTGTGTGTGTGGGGGGGGTGTAGTTGAAAGTAAGAGAGATGAGTTATTCAGTTCATATTTGGTTTCTCAGGCACAGCACTGTACCATTCTAAGCTGGTGAGAGGCTCTCCTATGCATTGCAGGATGTTCAGCAGCACTGCTATTCTCCACTCACTAAATCCCAGTTACATCCCTAGTTGTGATGACCAAACATGTCTCCGTTCCCTGGAAGGTAAAATTATTTCCTGTTCAGAACAATTGATGGAGCTCTAATCACCCACTGAATAATTAAATATTTTACTCATAAAAACGTCGTTCAGGTGCTGTGTAGATGTGGCCTGTGGTTCTAGCATATGTTTAAATGTATATGAAATCAGGGCTTATACAGAAAAAGAGAAACAGCAAAAACTATATAGTCAATTCATGAAGTTAAGTAATGATGCAGTTAATAAGAACATTATTTCATTCACATAATTTCCTTGCATTAGGATATTTTCCTATTTATTGTTGGTTGGGCTAATATTAATAGGAATGGGTTTCCTGGACACACTGGCTGAAGACAGGGAGAAAAGGCAAGTGTGCATGGAGAGAAATCATTTGGGTTTCTTAAATTTTCATAGATACCCATAAAGTAGGTTATCTATGATAAACATTAACCACAGATTATCAAACTGCATTGTCCATTGGCAAGCTTAAAATGTAATAGCAACGTTCATACTTACAGGTGAATTAAAGATTTTAGTCCTCGGAAAGTATGTCTTGAAATGGACTTGATGTTGTTGTTTTCTATGAATCTGCAATAGGTTATAATATTTTTGGTCAAACAGCTGTAGGAACCTCAGAGCCCTTGTCCTGTATCATTACGTTAAAAAAAAAAAAAAAAAGGTTATTTTACTTACAAATACTCTAGATGTGGGAGACCAATGAAAGCATCATCACTGATCACATCAAAGGAGTTCGATGTGAATAACCTGCCCAGAAAAAGTACACAGTGAAAATGGTTGAACTGACAGATTGTCAATCTTTGCTGCTTTTATCTCTCAGAGAAATGAGTGGGAGTAGTGCACAGAAAAATGTCTGGATGTCTGCCTTTTACAGTGTTATTTATTCAGGTAATTTTTGTAGCTTTTTTTAACCATCAATTATCTCATCAAACGCTCAATGAGGGGGTGCCTTGTACCCCACTCCTCATAGGGATGAGTGTCACATGTCCTGGGTAACATTTTGGGACACAATCAGGCAAGTATGACAGTCAAAGCAGCCAAATCAACATGTTGCAGGTTTCCATGACAAAGACACTAGCAGAATCTTTCCCTCCTGCTCTGAAACTTCTGGAACATTCTGACCAGCCCAAATAGTGGTATCATAGTCACTAACCTGACAGACCTAGGAAACTAGCTCCATGTCTAGTTGTGCATGTTATTCACAGTAGGTAAGCCATTGACACTGGTTCAATAAAAATCAACTAACCTTCCTTGAAAGTAGAGCAGGCTGAAGATGGGAAACAATGGGGCTTAGGAAGAGTCTCAGACCCATTTTATTTCTAAGTAGTTGAAAAAGAACACTTTTACTTGGACAAATTTATTTGCAATTTCATTATCCACAGGAATTTGGTTTGAAATAACTGATGAAAAGAAACATTAATCAGCAGTCCCCACATCCTGCGTAATTCCTCGAAGAATTTCTTTTTTTTTTTTTTTCTGAATCAGAGGCTTAACAGAGGTGATTACAAGCCAAATAATACAAAGTTATCTGTTTAGAATGAGTATTAATTTATGGAATTCATCAGATAAAGTGTTGACATAAACTGAAAATAAAGTTTTTTACATGTACTGATGACAACTTATAATGGGTTCAAGTGACATTCAGGCTATATGTTAAGGTTCTTATATGGGGAAACTCATTTTTCACTTGTAACTAGTGCCCAAAATGTGGCCACGATCATGGGACAGGTGGGAGGTTTGACAATTCATGTCTTATACATACTGTTTAATTGCACTATGCTAAGTCCAGTATTCTCTGTTAGCAAACTTCTTGACTTTTACTTTTGAGGTGTAGGGTTAAAAATAGCTGCACTAACCAACTTAATGACTTACCCTCTCTGAACCTGTTAACCAAGGGGATTAAAACTATGAGATCTCACCTTCTGAACAGTTGTAAATAACTTATTTGACATCTGAGATTGCTTAAAAATGATGAGAGAAAGGGATAACAGTGGGTTAGAGACGAATTGAGCACAAAGAGGTCATTTTTTAAGCTGGAAGCTGATTTTTACTATTATTTCTACTTTTATATATGTTTGAAATTTTCTGTAAAAATGGGGAGGGAGAGAAAGTAAACCGAATAAAACCAGATGATGTCTTGCATTTCTTTCTAAGCTATAAGCCCTGGAATGATGTTGGATTCTCTTCTATCCCTTCTCCTTCCAACGTTACAGCTTTACTCTCAAATGATTCGCTAGACTGTGAAGTCAACATTATCGAATAAGTCATACATATTAGATGCCCAGTTATTCAAAAAATTCAAATTTTTATTATTTCAGTCACAACTTTGGCAATTGTCTCTTCTTATGTCATGGTTCTGGGAAACAAGAAGATTGCTCAGCCTTACTCCAAGGTAAGCTACCATCCAAAGTCTTCCTTAGGTTACAGATTTTCGTTTCATTCTGTATCAAATTCAGTTAAGTTGCTCAGTTGTGTCCGACTCTGTGACCCCATGGACTGCAGCACACCGGGCTTGCCTGTCCATCACCATCTCTGGAGTTGCTCAAACTCATGTCTATCGAGTCCGGTGATGCCATCCAACCATCTCATCCTCTGTCATCCCCTTCTACTCCTTCCTTTAATCTTTCCCAGCATCAGAGTCTTTTCTATAAAATTTATTTATTTTTAATTCTTTATTCTTTATTTCTTTATTCATTCTGTATAGGCAGCATCAAGGAGGGGGAGGATGAAATAAGGCAGAAATAGATACAGAGAAATACCTCCCATGTTCACTGGCTTGCAAACTGTCCCAGGGACTTCAAAATCACTCCAAGTCACTGCAAGAAATGACTTCTAACACTCATTCTCCTTAAGTTGAATCAGATGCAAAACAGGATACGATATGCATATAAGTAGGCAGAATTAGCCCACACATGTCAGGGAAATAAAATAGGGTTTTTGCTAAAATTTTTATCTGCTCATTCATTGCTTATCCCTAGCACCTGTAATAGTGCCTCTCCCATAGTGCTGTTGCTGTGACACTGAATAAATATTTGTTAAAGAGGAATTTACTTTACATTAAATTCTGGTCATTACTATATTACTAGATTTAATGTTCCTTATAGCAAGGACTTAGCCTTATTGATTTTTGTGTCCTCAGTCCTGAGCACAGTTCCTGGCTGAAAGCTGTTTTCTGAACTAGTTTTTAAAGATCAAAACTTCTGGCTAAAAGTACAACGATATGCGAAAATGCGGGTGAATCTCATAAACCTAAATCCAGGGAAAGAAGCCAAAATGCAATAAAGTACATCCTTTATAATTGCTCTTATATAAAGAAGAAAAGCCAGCAAAACTAATCTATGCTGTCAGAAGTCAAGATAACATTTACATCTTGGAGATGAGAAGAGGGCACAGAGGAAGTCTTTGGGGTAATGATGACCTGGGTGCTGGTTACAAGAGTGTTCACTTTATAAAAAGTCATGAGGAAAGGGGTAGGGGTGATAAAGAGGCAGAGCATAGAGGAGTTTTAGGGCAATGAATATATTCTGTATGATACCATAATGATGGATACATGTCTCTATACATTTTCCTGAACTCATAGGATGCACAGTACCAAGACTGAACCCTAATGTAGACCTGGCTGATCTAGTAAGTTCATCAGTTGTAACAGAGATACTCCCATGGTGGAAGATGTGGGGGATAGGGGATGTGTCGGTAGGGAGTCTATGGGAAATTCTGTGCCTTCTCTTCTATTTTGCTGTGAACCTAAAACTGCTCTAAAAAATTAAGTCTTAATTTAAACTCTCAAGATGTACACTTAGGATATGCACACTTAAAAAAAAAAAGAATATGCACACTTTTCTTTATGTAAATTTTATTTTAATAAAAACTTTTCTTATAAAAGCTAAAACAAATCCCTCTGGCTAAGATAATATTGAATATCTTAGTCCCTGGATTCTAAATTCAATTGTAATTTTCTGTGGACAAGGATTCCATGGGCAAAGATTTGTAATGTATACATACATTCTAAACTTAGTTGATCGCACAGGCTATCCATTTTATTATCCTGTGTATGCTACTGCTAAGTCACTTCAGTCGTGTCCGACTCTGTGCAACCCCATAGACGACAGCCCACCAGGTTCCCCTCTCCCTGGGATTCTCCACGCAAGAATACTGGAGTGGTTTGCCATTTCCTTCTCCAATGCATGAAGGTGAAAAATGAAAGTGAAGTCGCTAAGTCGTGTCCGACTCTTAGCAACCCCATGGACTGCAGCCTACCAGGCTCCTCCGTCCATGGGATTTTCCAGGCAAGAGTACTGGAGTGGGGTGCCATTGCCTTCTCCGATCCTGAGTATACTTAAGACTTTAAAAGATCCTGTTCTATAAAGAGGGTAAATGCCCATCTTTAATTTTTATAGGTTCCTTTAGAAAGTTTGATTTCAATATCATAATTTGTTATTGAGCCAGATATGTTAAAGAATCCTGTAGTCCTTGTTAAAGGAAACCATGTCACCCCACCTCATCTTGATGTACAACAGACCTGGGACAGACTAGTGTGGCCATGTTTTATATCTCATGACTTCTATCCCTTTTCTTAAATTATTAGAACAAGAAGGACTCCTTTTCTCATGAAGAATAGCTGATCCTAAGGTCGGTCAGCATCCCATGGTCCAACTAGTCTGGTTCAAAAAGGTGAGTTGGGCTAAAGATGAATCCCTTCTTGAGAATTTAGAATCACAAACAGAGATGGAGCCAGCCAGCAGAGGAGCTGAAGGAGGAAAGATGCCTTAGGGTTGAGTCAGCTCCATGGCAGGAAAACTGTGTGCAGGGTGAACTCAGAAGAGAGTGGAATGTGGAGGAGATCTCATAAAGGGCTGTGTGTATGAGGCTGGATCAGGGAGATGCCCAGATCTGTGTTTGATCCTAGACCTGTGCTTCTCAATCTTAGCTTCACTTGGAATCACCTGGAGAGCTTTATAAATACTGCTACCATGTTCTCACCCTCAAGGATTCTGGTTAATCTGGTTAAATTCTGTACCTGTGATGTGGCCTGAGCATGGGATGTTTAAAAACTCCCCAGGTGTCTCTCACACGCAGCCAGGGCTGCATATGGTAAATTTCTTGTCAGTTACAATAGCCTTCCTCTACCTGTGGCGACCAAGGGGACCTCTGCTCCTTGTAGCAGGTGTGGCTGGAACAGGAGCTCTGATACACAGAGATGCTGTAGATTGTCCCATGTCCCTAACTACAGGTAGCAAGAGTCCATAATACCGTGACTCAGATTTGACGACTGTCCTCACAATTGCAGCACATGGAGGAGTGGGTGGGGATCAATGTATTGTCTAAACAAACTCCTTACCCTGAGCTCCAAATCAGAGACCTCACCCCCTAGATTTGCCAAACAGCCATCCTGTGGGTTTGTACGGGGATAATGTAGAATGTGTCCTCTGCCCCTGGGCCTGTGGGAACATTTGAGGTCTCTGGCACTTTCTTTTTAGGAAGGGGGAAAGGCAGGCATGTTCCCTAGAATGTTGGTGGAGGTGGACACAGGGCTGCACCTTGACCTTTCTGTATCTTAGCCATCAGTCTCATGAATTCAGTGTGAAAACAAGGGAGCGTAGGAAGGGTGGGAAGGATTGTTTTCCTCTGCAACCAAGGGAATGTATGTTTCCTTACCAAGAAAGATTTAAGACCATACATAGATCAATCGATTGCTCAGTTGTGTTTGACTCTTTTGCAACTCCATGGACTGTAACCTGCCAGGCTCCTCTGTCTGTGGAATTTTCCAGGCAAGAATACTGGAGTGGGTTGCCATTTCCTACTCTAAGGGATCGTCCTGACCCAGAGACCAAACCTGCATATCTTGTGTCTCCTGCATCGGCAGGTCTATTCTTTACCACTAGTGACACCTGGTATGTTTCCTTACCAAGAAACAGATTTAAGACCATACACATCAGCTATCAGTTCTGTGCAGGCAATAGCTCATTCTTTAAATCATCATTGTTGCCTCCACAATAACCTGTATTTCATAAAATGCTGCTGCATTTTCTTATCCGGGCTTTGAAACAAGTCTGTGAAAGTGGTAGAGTAGATGTTAATAGCTGTTTGACAGGAGGAAACTGTGGCCCAGAGGGCTGCTAAAAGCTTTGACCAAGGTCATAAGACCCAAGAGTCCTGGTCTACTCCCCTTTCCACGCCTTGGGTGGTCTCTCAGTATAGGAGACTGATCACATAATGACACAACATTCACATTCTGACAGACAACTATAACACTACTCAGCTTATGCGGATTTAAGAAATCTCTTTAAATTATAATTCCTTTTTTAAAAGGAATTAATTAATCAAAGTAAGTATCCTAAAAGTCACATTAAGATCATGTCAACTTATGTTTTTTTAAGTCAAGAATTTAAAAAAATCTAAACTATCACAACATTGTCAAGCAATTATACTCCAAGTTAAAAAAAAGAATTTAAAAAATAAGAATGCAGTTTGGTGTATTCTGTTTAAGATACTATCGGCTCAGTGTAAAAATTCTGGAAAACTCAGAAAAGCTTAAAGAAGACAATAAAAATGACTGTCACCATACTACAAAGATATGAATATATGTGTATATAATATCTGTATGATATATGCATGTATATATTTATAAAATTTATAAAATTAGAATAATAATTTGTATTGTTCTGTGTCCTCCTTTTCATGTACTTATTTTTTCAAGAACAATTTCTTATGACAAAAATTCAATATAAAAGTTTGACAGATGAATAAGTCTTGTATTATAAATATTTCAGGATTTAACTTTTTAATTGTTGATTCCAATTTTCACTGTTATAAACACTACCATGACTACTCTCACATGCAAGTATTTTTCCATATCCCTAATTCTTTCCTTTGAGTAGACTTAGGGTAGATTTTTTTAAGGTAGCGTTATTGGATTGTACATGGTTTTTATGTCTCTATTTACTACTAACTTGTATCACACTACCTATTCAATCTGAATATAGAAATGCCTATTTATCACATCCTTACCAATAGTTAGTATTATCACTTTTGTTTCTTTTTCTAGGAAATCATGTCCTTTGACCATTTTTGTTGCATTTTAAGCACCTTTTATTTATTAAGGATATTACCTATTCTTTTCCTTTCTTATCTGATGCTGAATGTTTCCCTGCTGATTATGATTTGCCTTTTGAATCATGATTTTTAGCATATAGACATTTTACATTTCTAACAAAATATATCAACATCTATTACATATTCTTTCTTTGCCGTAATTCTTAAAATGTTTCTTCCTACCTTGATATTAATGAAATATTACTTACCCCTCGCTCTATAACTTTTCTTTTTTTACTCTAATTTATTTGGAGCTTGCTTTTATCTATGATGTGAGGTGAGATACTGCCTTGATTCCTTCCTAGGTATTTACTCAAATTTGCCAAAGCCTGTCATTGAATAATTAATGCCCTTCCCACTTGTGTGTACATAATCAGTTCAGTCAGTTCAGTCACTCAGTCGTGTCCGACTCTTTGTGACCCCATGGACCACAACATGCCAGGCCTCCCTGTCCATCACCATCTCCCGGAGTTTACTCAAACTCATCTCCATTGAGTCAGTGAGGCCATCCAACCATCTCATCCTCTATCATCCCCTTCTCTTCCTGCCTTCAATCTTTCCCAACATCAGCGTCTTTTCAAATGAGTCAGTTTTTCCCATCAGGTGGCCAAAGTATTGGAGTTTCAGCTTCAATATCAGTCCTTCCATTGAACACTCAGGACTGATCTCCTTTAGGATGGACTGGTTGGATATCCTTGCAGTCCAAGGGACTCTCAAGAGTCTTCTCCAACACCACAGTTCTGTATTTCTCCCTGCAATCTTGATTCCAGTTTGTGCTTCATCCATCCCAGCGTTTCTCATGATGTACTCTGCATATGAGTTAAATAAGCAGGGTGACAATATACAGCCTTGGTGTACTCCTTTCCCTATTTGGAACCAGCCTATTGTTCCATGTCCAGTTCTAACTGTTGCTTCTGGGGACCAGGGAAGCTGCATATAGATTTCTCAAGAGGTAGGTCAGGTGGTCTGGTATTCCCATCTCTTTTAGAATTTTCCAGTTAATGTGATCCACACAGTGGAAGTGAGAAATAGATTTAAGGGACTAGATCTGATAGACAAAGTGTACATATTACTTCCTTCAAAAATCTGCTATTTTATAGGGTTTTTCCAAAGATGAAAGCTTGAATTTACTTACTATTCCTACTGTTTCCTAATTTATTGTTTTATATGCTAATTATTTATTTTCTCTTGAGTTCCTTAGAAGATGTATTGTTTCATGTTCAATTCATATATTTTTATTCTTTCTGATTTAAAATGAAAGTATTTAGAAATATGACTTTGCCTCTATGTAAAGCATCCAGTAAGTTTTAACAAGTGGTCTCTTTAAATTGCATGTTTTATTTCAACAAGTATTTAGAATAATATTCTTAAAATTCCCTGTTGATGATATTTTAAAAATGTTTTCATGAGTTAAAATTAACATTGCCCTGGGACCAAGGAGGATGAGATCTGTAAAATGCCTGCTAACCCTGAGCTCCAGTTTCTCTTCTGACTACTTGCATTCACCTGTCTGTAGGTGTGGGTCACATCTCTCTATAAGCAATAAATGAACACCAAGGCCATCAGGTTATTAGGAGGTTCTTGGTTGAAAAGCTAGGATCAGAAGCACTTAATTCAAAAGGAGCAGAGAAGTGTGTGATAGGGTTAGCATGGAACTTGGTGTGCTGAGGTCAGCAGTAGAGGAGAAAAGGAAGAAGCAGAGGATCACAGAATGAGGATCTAACTACATTAGAAGGAGGTCAAGGCTGAGGCTGCCCAGTGTCTAGCTGGGGGTCCGCAAGAGTGAAATGATTAGATAGGGACATGTGTAGATGCCAAGACTGAAGGACTGCTAAAGCAGTTTCCTGCCCTGGCTTCACACCTCTTCTAGGGACCAGGAAGGAGCACCCTGAAGAGGGAATCACAAAGCCTGAGTCTTAATTCCCACTTAGCCATAAATCCTCCGTGTGGCCTTGAGCACATCACTTCTGCTCTCTATGTTGTCAAATGAGGGATCTGAACTAGATAACCAGAAAGATGTGTGAGACAGGGCTTGTAGAGCTGCAGGCTTCATTCATGGAGGAATAGGCATGGGCTCTGCATGAGGAGTGGGAGTCTTGGGTAGGCAGGTCTACAGATGGTTGAATGGGAGGAGTAACCTTGCTGGGAACATCTCCCCTTGTCTCAAGCCAGACTGGCCCCCTGGCTCTAATGACACTTCTTCAGACTCCCTTCAGTCACCTGTGACATCTTAACTCCCATCAGAACTGACATTGGCCACAAGTGGTCTGCATCTTGTCTTACAGCTCAAAGCAGAGTCTTTCGACTGTGGAGGGGGCTTTCCCATACAATCAGCACTCTGTAAGGGCTACTCTGGATGAAGAAGAGTGAGCAGCCAGCCTCAGGCTATTGTTTAGAGATGGCATCGATTAGATATAGAATAGAAAATCTGGTTTCTAAGCTTGTAGCTGCTACTTTTATTATGTACATGATACATCAAGCAGGTAAATCTATTTCTTTATCCATTAAAAGAGGAATGATAATAACAAAGACTTGCTGGAAGATTCTGAGAATTATGTGAGATAATATATAAGAGTATCTCATCAATGCTTCTGCCAAACAGTATCTCAGCAAACAGCCCAGACATAAAATAGGAGAGCTGGAAGAGCTGCTAGATCTAGTGAAGAACATTAGTTATGCGGAGAGGGAAACTGAGGTCCAGTGAGACTGTCATCTGCCTAAGAGAACTGTTATGAGCCTCATCTAGGGAATTAGGCAGCCTTGGGCAGTGTGTGCAAGCACATTTTGTGTACATATGTGTGCCTGATGTTTATATGTGCATATACATGAAATGACAGAGAGCAAGATGCAGACATTACAGTTGTTAGAGATTTGAGGGCACAGCTGGAAGGGCTGGCCAACTTTTAGAACTGACTCTGCTTAAATGATTCATACCTTCTAGTTGTTACTAACATTCTCCTTTATTCAAAAGAACAGGGCTGGTTGAATGATAATTAATAACAGGCTGATGATTCACTTCAGTTGAATGCACACATTCTAAGTGCATGTGCCACGTGAATAATTTTACATTTGAATATATTAAAATAGGCTCTTAAATAGGAAAGCATTAAAATGGGAAGCATCACATATGAGCACGTTATGTTCTTTTTGACTCTCATCCTTGGAAAACATTTTCAATGTAACTCAGAGGACCCTTAGGTAGACCTCTTCTATCTGGATTGATGGAAAATAACCCTAATTTTGCTCCATGTAAATCTGAAGGGTGGGGGGCAGCCTAGAGAGACATGTGATTCAATTCTTTGGTTTACAGGTGAGGAAAGCAAGGACCACAAAGTGAGTGACTTACTCAAAGTCACAACTTTTGACAGCAGCAGGGCCAGGTTTAAAATGTAGATTTTAGATTTGCAAGGATTCCCTGGGGGAACATTCTTAGCCTGCACATTTGAGCATGGATTTGATTTGAGCATAGATCCACCTCTCTGGTTTTATAGTTCATTACCTTTCATCCCAGAATATCAAAAGTTTTCCTTTCTAGGAGATGGCAAAACTAGTCACAGCCCACCCTCCTGATGCAGTTTATATATTTGGTCTGTATTTCCCTGCTCCTAAAAAACAAAGAAGAAGGGACTTCAATTTTATTTAAAGCTATTATATGCCAAACCTCATCTTTATCAGATTGCTATCTAGGAACTCATTTAAATCCTCCAGTGAACACTATAATGTAGGCTTTATTGTCTCCATCTAAAATACAAAGAAACCCGAGGTGCGAGCGGTAAAGTACTTTGAAGCTTGTAACTGGCAGAGCTAGGATTCTGTGCTCAGTCATGATCTCCCCTGACTGGTAATGGTCAGGGGCAAGGCTTTGCTTCCTCTTTTTAGTCCCAGCAGATCCCAGATCTGCTAGAAATCTAGGTTAGCCTTGCCTTGTAGTTCCCAGAGTTCAGGGAACACAAGGCCTTCATGCGATTGGAAGGTTTTACATGAGCAACAAGAGAGGAAAAATCAAATTCATGTAAATTGGGTAAGTGAAGTTAACCGAAGTTCCTAATTACAGGAATCTTCCTATCTGTAAGTAAACTGAGTCTCTTCAAAAGGGATTTAAATACAGTTTCCCTATCTTATTGATAATGGGACCCTTTTATCATTGCGTTTTATGTACAATGAATATACCCAGGAAAATGCTGGACTAGCCATCTGAGAAATAACTTGAGGAAGCCCTCTTAAAACAAAATTAGTGAGAGCATAAATTCAAGCTTCCAGGGCTTTTTCCCTGTTGAATGGGCTGCAAGTAATAATGCACTTACTCTGAAAGATGGAACATCCATTGGGACATCCCCAAAGAAGCCGTGTGTGCCACACACACTGCTTGATCAGGTGGAGAGCTTGGCAGTGAGGCACGTTCAAAGATAATCACACTCAATGAATGCACACTAACAAAGCTGCCTGAGTCACTCCTATATGGAGACAGATGGTTTAACGTATCCTTTAAGATGAAATTCTTTCTACCTGTGTAAGCTCTGCTGGCAAGCCTCTCAAGAGCAAGGGAAGGGATTCATAATTAATAAATAAAATGAACACCAAAGGTGTAGATTCCTAGTATCCTATTGGAGGTTAAGAAAAGGAAAACAACATAAAGAAATTCCAGAGGTTTTCTAAGCCAAGGTACATTGTGAATAGGCAAGCATGAATAGAATGGGCAGTTTCCCAAATTTATTTGAGCACAGAACTCTTTTTTTTTTTTTTTTCAGGACACGTGTTCCACAGGACACAAGATGAGAAAACATTGGTCTAAGGTATAACTTTAAAGTATATAAGTTCTTTGTCATTTGCCCTCTTCTGTGTCTCTGTCCCTCTCTTTTTTAACGCTGGGAGACTAGAGCCTACACATACCAATGAGAGCTGAATCCTAGGGCTACTCGATGTTCTTGCCAGCAACACTGCCACCCTTTCAAAGGGCTTTTGAAATTCTTTTTCAGTGATTGTCTCCAGGGATCAGGACACAGTCCTCCGAATATCCTCCTTAGTGGCAAAGGTTGACCCTCTAAGAGGGGGTTTGATTTGGGGAACAAAACTGTGCAAAGTTAAGCCCAGTTATTCATGTTCAAGAGAAAGTAGACAGATGTAGTTAAAAGTGAGGATGTGGTTTAAACTCCGACTTTACCTCTTATGTGGGGTGTGACATCACAGAGGTTACCTAACTCTTCTAGGACTCAGTGCTTCATCTGCAAAATGGACATAATCATACTTCCTCACAGGGTTACTGTGATAATGATTGAAAAATGAGACAGATAAAGTGCTTAGCACCAAGCAATACAAATGACAAATGTCCCCTAACAAAACTTTGCCTGATTTTATTGTATGACTTGTAAACTGGCAATGAAGACAATTCTCAAAGATCTAGAAATGTTTAGCTATAGAAGCAAAGTTAGGAAGAATCTCTGATCTCCCATAAGGAATTCTCTAAAAGTCAAAAGTTACTTGTATATTTAAATTCTAGTCTCTTTATTTTTTTTTTCCATTTATTTTTATTAGTTGGAGGCTAATTACTTTACATCATTGCAGTAGTTTTTGTCATGCATTGAAATGAATTAGCCATGGATTTACATGTATTCGTCTCTTTATTTTTTAAAGGCTCAGGTTTTTTTTTTTTTAAGATTTTCTTTTATGTGGACCTTTTTTAACGTCTTTACTGAATTTGTTACAATTTGCTTCTGTTTTATGTTTTGGTTTTATCCCATAAGATGCACGTGGGATCTTAGCTCCCCTACCAGGGATAGAACCTACACCCCCTGCATTGGAAGGTGAAGTCTTAACCACTGGACTGCCAGGGAAGTCCCCCATAAAGGCTCACTGCTTTTTAATCACATTTTACACAGGTAAACACCTGTCATCTTGCCATTTAAATGGCCTCAACAATTCCTTACCAGTCGTTGCCCTGTGGGAGGGATATTGAAACACTGTTTTGTCACAGCCACCATGGGAGGTTCTGATAAAGTCCCAATGGACCTGCTTGGGAAATTGGGAACTACATTATTATTTTAATAATAACTTTATAATAGCCAATTTCATAATGTGAGGCTCTTTCATTAAACAATCTAATTTACTGGTTTATTAGAACTGATACAATAAATTTTGTCTATTTCCTTAACAAGGCCATTGTCTGTATTAAAGTACCCTATTTGTAGAACAGAATACAATAGCATTTTTAAGCAGAAAGAAACCTAAGTTAATTGAACATGAAGGTCTCAAAAATGCCAGTTATGTGTGTTTTGTTTGGCCTTTATTCTGTTTAAAAATCTGCCTCCAGATTTCTGCCTTCTTCTAAAAATTAAAAAAATATGATCCATCTTCAGTAGCACATTCTCATCAGCAATAATCAGTTGGAAGTGAAGATTCATTTTTAGGTAAGACATGTCTTCTCTGGTTTACCCCAGTCACTACCACTCACTATTGTCTTATACTCAACTGTTTCTTTCATTGACCTTATCATCCCAACCCCCACTGGGCATTTGAGCTTGAGAACCATGTTTTAATCTATCTCTGGTATTTTATACATATAAAATCTGAAATCCAGGGATACTTGGTCACACAGTCCATTGCTGTCTGAACTGGATTTCAAAACCATGTCTCCTGATCTCTACTTCAGGCTTCTCTCCATCTTATCACAGAACTACTCATCTTAAGACTGGCCAGTGTTAATTATTTTTCATAAAACCTGACATGTTTACAAAATATGGTGCCAGTTGTTTTTTTCATGAATGAGAGGGCTCTGCTTCCTCTTTCCCCTCCCACCCTGGGAAAGGTAAATAGTTCACCTTTCTTGTGAGAAGTATTTGAAGGAAGATTTCTTAGCAAGTTCTGATGCAGACCTATGTGTAGAACAATGACATCTTAAAGCTAGCATCATAGGCAAACCCAGTCTATACAATCAGATGCTAATCTGATGTTATGGTCATTCAAATTAAAGTGATTTTCAGAATAAATAATAAAAGCTAATGTTTATTGAGTTGTAGGAACTGTCCCAAGTGCTTTACATGTATTACTTCATTTAATCCTGACTATAATCCTGTATTACAGGTACAGTGGTTATTGCCCACTTTGTATTAATAGATGCAGGTAATGTAGCCTCTATTAGCCATAAACTCAACAGTGGGCAAGAGTCACCATCATCACCAATCAACTGAGTACCATTTTGAACAAAATGAGAGAGCTTATCAAGACTACTTTCTCATCCCTTGGAATACAGGCAAAATAGAGTTTACCTTTTTAGGGCTCACCTCCAACTTGGAGCTGCCATGTCAAAGCAGGGAGGGAGAGCTGTCACTCATCTGTCTGTCTCCCACAAAGCCCAGGGCTGAGCCTGCTGCACAGTAGAATCCCAAAAGTTTTTGCTGAAATGGGAGGCTTGTGCTTTCATTTTGTTACTGCTTGCAGCTACACAATGAATAAATACTTGTTTTAGCTAAGCCACTGTAAATAAAAAAGAAACCATCTTTGTGTTCACAAATTTGGTTTCCATCTTAATAATGCTTAATTAGCATCTTTCTTTGGATGTCCTGTCAGACTGGATAAAGGGGGAGTCTGACCTTTCACAGGAGAGAGGCTAGTCAAACCTGAGAGATAACTGGAGTGGCAAATAAGAGTTTGTGCTTGTCAAAGACCTAGAGGAAATCAGAGGGAGACAAAAGGGATCCAGGCAGAGGGTCTAAAGAAAGATTCTGGATGCTTTGCCTTTTAAGTTCTGGTACACTGGAAACATCTGTTGAAGAAGTTTGACATCATAAGGTCATGAGCAAATACCTCTTCACACTTTCTTTTGGTTCAGCGCACATTCCAGACCTCCACACTATTGGCTCGTGTGAAATCAGATCGCGTATATCAAACAAAAGGAAGTGTGAACATGACTGAAACTACTGATAGGAAGACAGAAGTCTCTAGTATAAAATCTATGAAAATATGGATTGAATTCAACAAATACATAGTAAGCAAAATCTTAATCTAAGCTTATAACATCCTTTCTAGGACCATGGCTATTGAGAACCCTCTGTTAGAGACAAGGGCAGATACAAATAGCTCTAAAAATGATGGGAAGAATTAGAAACATCTGAAAAGTCTATAGAACTTGAGAAAACAGAGGTCAGGGAATGAGGTACTTCAGGCTGGCATGGATGGAGCTTGTGGTGTGTGTGTGTGTGTGTGCACGTGTGTGTGTGCTATTGCTACTATGAGAGATGACCCTAGACAAATAGCCAAATTCTGTTAATACCAACTCAGATGTTCAGATGTTTCTCTGTTTCTAGGGAACCATTAAAGGCTCCCAAGCATGAGGGTATCAGGATGAGATCTGCACTTCAGGAAGGTAATGCTAATGGAGGTGGGGAGGAATGGGATCCAGAAGCAGGGGGACCAGTGGAAAACCTCCCCCAGCAGCCTGTGGAACAGTGACTGTAGCCTCAGTTAGGATCATGGCCCTGGGGTCAAGAGGAGATGGCAGATTCTTATGCGGTTTGATGGGGGCACTTTTCCTGTTGAAAGTGGACCTGAAGAGGTAACTCCTAACTTTCCTGGTTGAATAACTGAGAAGATGAAATACACTTTCAGAGAAAACATTTGTTATACAGGGCTGTGTGCACAGTCACAACAATTCATTAAGAAGTTAAAAATCAGAGCTATGGGTCACTGGTCGGACTGTAGACAAAACAGCCCAGATGATTGAAATGTTTACTTCTTGGTCCATTGTAGGCCATCACTTGGGCACAAACCAAAACATACTCATCCACAAGCAGTAAGTAACTCCTCTAGAAGCCCTCTTAGCTGATAGGTTTGGCTTGAGTAGTCATTGAAGGTCACAAAATGTTTCTTAACGCTTGTCATGGAATAAATAAAGAGGTCAATCACTGTGAAGGTGATATAGGCTATGGATATTTTCCCCTGGACAAATAATATTTTGAAGAACTAACTGATAAAATTATAGCAAGGATGGACTTATTATCTGTCTCGTTCATGCTGTTTACTTCTCGGTTTTTTGGTCTTTGATTTCTTATGAACTATATATTTATGTGTTGATTGTAGATTAATAAAAGAAATGATTATATCCTCCCCCCCCACCCCTGCCAAGGGATCAGTTCTATTGCTTCAAACAAGATCAGACCTCATTGGAATAAATAGAAATTTTTCCAGCTACCCTGAATTCTTATATCAAGATTTTGTGTATGTGCGTGATATTAACCGAACCCTGTTACTCCCTGCAAATAGAACTCTCTGAAGAGTTCTACTAGATAGCTTTAGTTTATCAAAACTTTTATGAATAAATGGCAATGTGTCCACATTTTATACTTTTAAATTTGAATTTTACTTCTGTAATGAGCCCATATCATTGGGGATTTTAGTCTGTGGTTGAGAAGAACAGGGCCGTCCAGTGTGAAAACACATTTCTGTAAATTCCATTCACTACAAATACCACTCCCTCTCACTGAAAGCAAACTAGAATGAATAATCATTCCCATTGGTTAAGTTTCACAGCAGGCCTATGGATAACATGAATGAAATTACATTTGCTGGGGAAAGATTTTTTTTTTTTCTTTGCTGTTGTTTAAAACCATAGGTGTTTTTAAAAATAGGCTCATATAATTAATTTGATGAAATTTCATTGGATAATTTTATTCTTTCTCTCCTCTCTACAGAGTGTGGGCTTTTGTTTTTCTTGTTCTCTGACACACATTGCCAGCCACAGCCTACCAGGATCTTCTCCCCCAGAACATGTAACTTAAGGAGGCATTACGTCTGTTTCCCTCAGTATCCCAGGCTGACATTTCACAAAGTACTTTTCATCATGACTTCTGCAGAAGGTCTGAAAAAGCATTTGGGGCCATAATGAAATTGTCAGACTTTTAGGGTAGGTGATGGGAATGGGCCTTTTCTTTTTCTTTTTCCACAACTGAGCATGAAACCAACTGCCTTTGGACATCAATGGAGCAGAATTGATTCAGAAGCTTATCTTTTCACAAACTATGACAAGTCTGTTTTGTAATCCACGGTCGCAAATGCTATTAGAATCCATTGCAAACCCCAAGCAATGGCTGGTGTGATCCAGGTCTGGTCTGATGGCAAAGGTCATGCAAAGGCAAATCAGACCCCTGGGTCTTCGTGTTCCAGTGGGGAGTTTTCAGGGCACTGGATGGCGCCATCCCACAAAAGAACTCTTTATGTCTGTGAAGTATGCATTTCCACCACTGTTATGATTATGGCATTATTCATACTTGGAGCCTTTTCATTTATTTCCTCCTCAGTGAAAATGCACTTATTAGGCCCTTTCCCAAGGACAGGAGGAAACAGAGACATTGGACAGGAAGAATAGGGAGCAGTCAGGATGGCTGCTATCCAAAAGTCTACAAGCAATAAATGCTGGAGAGGGTGTAGAGAAAAGGGAACCCTCTTACACTGTTGGTGGGAANGTTGTAAAGTAATTAGCCTCCAACTAATAAAAATAAATGGAAAAAAAAAAAAAAGAATGGGGAGCAAAATCTCTAGGAAACAGAGTCCTGGCGATTAGAGACAAACTTTGACCCCTGCCATGTTGAGTTTAGCCAATGTGAGTTAAGTAAGGACATCCAGGGCAAGAATTACTCGCCCTTTTGTTATTTCTGAAACCTGAGCTGCTTTTAGAAATAAGGGTTGGAATGTTCCATAGGAACTCGAAGCATGGAACGCAGGGGCATGGCACACACGCTCGGTGCGGGCTATTTAAAAACCAGTTCCCTGGCTTCCCTCTGTGATTCTAAATACGTGTCATCACATTACCCTGCAGCAGCCGGTAACTATTTCTATAACATTGTCCAGCATCTGTGCTTGCTGAGGCTGGGTCCACCCAGGGGAAACAAAGTGGAGAGATGCTAACTGATGGGGCTGGTCAATCCAGGTGTTCTGTGGCACAACTAACAACCGTCCAATGTTAGTAGTATGTGTCAAATGACACTTCTTGAATTTTAAGGACTGATCCATTTAATTATCCTGGGGAGAGAGAAGTGCCTTAATCCATCAAAAGGATGCTTTTAAAATGAGCCTTATATGTATTTGACAAATAATAACATAGTCACAATTGATCACTTTCTCACATACAACCAGTTCTTATCTAGCCTATGAAAGGATCCCAGCATTGACGACTTTGCCTCCTTTTTGAATTTGTTTGATGTACTAAACAAACTAATTTGTTCGTTGCCCTAATCAACTATTAGCTGTCAGTCAAACAGATAAATCACTTAGGAATATTCTACTCAATTGTTAATCATTCAAAGACATTAGCTAGAAGAAGGACATTAGTTAACATTATTACATAATGTCAAAACACTTGAATAATCAAATCAGTTTGGGGATTTCATATAGACAAAACAATAGATTAAGTGATTTTTCTAGCTTTTTTAGTTTCATGTAAAAAGTTAAAACCCTACCATTTATAAAATGTGTAACCACTTGTCATATCCTACGCCAAGCATTTTATCTACTGAAATCTCATGTATTTCTGATAACAACCTTTCAAAGTGTCATCACCTCCATTTTACAGATGAGAAGACTGAGGCTCAGAGAGATTTAGTCATTTGCACACAATTACATGTCTAGCTTCTAGGGAGTGGTGGAGTGAGATTTACATACAGGTCTCTCTCATTTCAAATCCATGCTATTTGCCTCTCTGTATGTAAAACTTCAAATAGCCAAAATGGCCAAGTAAGGTAAGAAAACAAAAACCCTAAAACAAACAAGCAAAAAAACTTGAGTCCTGGATCATACAGTTAAGATAACCACAACTCAGTTGATGGACAATTGGCTGATTCCCGCCCCCCCCCCCCCGAACTGGTAATGACAAGCCACTCTGTGGCCTGACACCTGAGCATCAGGGGACCTCTTGTCCCCTGTGCAGTCCTGCTCTGAGAACTAGTACTCCAATTGCCAAACATTACATATGAGAACAAGTTATCCATGTTACATTATGCCTGTGGAAAGATCTGATTTCTTAGTCAAATATTATTTTTTGACTCTTTTCAGACATAGATTGAATATGTGGTTCCCTCATGGCTATCTCAAAACACACAGCAAAGACTAATTCTTTGCACTATCCTATATTAATATTTTCTTTCCCTCCTTATAAGGAGATGAGTTATAAATCAGGTGAAATTAGAAAGCAGTCACTCAAGAATGAATATTTTAAGGAATTACCTAGAAAGAACTGAGATTTTTCTTCCCCACATGGTAAATCATACAGAGTAGCAGCCTGCCCCAGGTCCCCCAGGACAACATCTTGAGTGCATATATTATGCTGGGTTCTGTATTGACTAATTCAGAAACTCCAGGGTAAAATAACCAAAGTTCCCAAGTCAAAAATGAAAGTAAAAGGGGAGAATGAAGTGAGGATCACTGTTACAACATTCCAACAACTTCACAAATAGCCATGAAAGTAGCCGGCATTACAGGTTAGCAAATTTACCATTGCAAGCATCAACCTGCACCGTTGGTGTCAGGTCGCAAACAAGCCCATCTACCTCTCACTTTACTGATAATTCTTTTCCTCTCCAGAAATATAATCACATTTGACAAAATTAATATTGAGATAATTTCACTAGAGGGCTTATCTAAATATATGCTATATTAAAAATAGTCATGATATAAATATTTCTCACAAGAGCTGCAGCGATGGTGTGAATAAAAAACTCCCTTCGGAGATTTCAGTAAAACCAGATCTCACAAAGGATCTGAAAGAAAACAAAACAACAAACAGACACACACAAAGAGACACACACAGAACACAGAACAAACCTTATGTTAATCCGGTTTAGCAAAACAGTCACTATTTGACACTATTTTATGAAGTATGATACTGTGCCTTGCCAGCTGAAGTAGGAGACATGAATCTGCTGCAGGTTTCTCATAATAATGTTCGGGGAGTGGAAGATATCTAAGCATGTTCTGTAGCAGCTAATAAGAATCAAAATTTCTAAATGCAGCAAAATGTTAGCTCTGTCAAACGGCCAGGCGTGCCAGAGGAATCTCTCTCCCCATGCCCTTTTACCAATACATACAAAGCCCCAAATACATCGGCTGGAATTTTAAAATCGTAAATTAGATATCAAAATGCTTACGGGCCTTACAGTGAGATAACGTCAGGAGGAACGGTGCGTGGAATGGATCTGGCATTCTCACATAAGGCATTATCTTTGGTACAAGTACACACGGCAGGGCATTTTGGCTTTGCTGGTTTCTTCCCCTCAGTCAGCAGAAGCGCAGATAAGAGACATAGGCAATAAGCAATTCTTTTCAGGGGGATGCAGGCATTTCCCATCCTTTGGCTTCTCTCTGATTCCATGCAGTCGAAAAAATATCCCCAAACATGAACAGGGCTTCTGGAATTCAGATGGTGATTGTCTTGCTCTAAGATCAGGTCACATAAGAGTCCACCCTTTTCCTTTGCCTCTGTCTCTCTGCTTTTCAAAACAGGGACCTGCAGCTGATTCGTGAGCCGCTCCTGGCTCCAGCGAGGCACTGCTGGGGAAGAGACCTGTGAGGTGCTGCGAGATGGGAGGGACCCAACGGCTGGAGGAGAGAGCAGACTTGCATCACCACGAAAACACAGAGCACAGACCAGCCTTCGAAGGCAAAGCGAAGTGATGTAACAGAGAATAAACAGCTTTCTGCTTGCACCGGGAGGCCCTTTAATTGTTACCAAAAATAGGACGGCATTATGTCTTATTAGTGGGTGGGTGGGCGGGTGGGTGGGAGCAGTCATCTTGCCTGGGATCTCAGCAATCTCGGAAACCTCTGGGAATTTGCTTTTCCGTGTGGCAAACAACCTAGTAAGAAAAACCAGCTTCGGAGCCAGCCCTGGCTGGAAAAATGAAGTGAAATGAAACTCTCCCTCTGCAACCTTTGGCTAAAAACCTTGGTATTTCTTGCTGAGTCCACCTGACTGATGCCATCGCTGAAAGACAAACAACACATGGAGAATGTGACTTTCAGGGAATGAATGTGAGTAAATACTTTTCTGACACTTCACTGTCATAAATTATTGATTTTCATAATCCACCCTCCCCCACGTGAGCCATTCCCTCCTCCCGTGTGAAGGAGGGAGACAGAAACACTGACTGCCTCTGTGTCTTAACACCCCCTCCTCACCTCTCATCCCCCCCTTCTTCAGCACTAGAACCAGAAGCCTGGAAGGAAGTCCCTGCCAGCAGGAGGCAGCCAACTTGGGCTTCCAGGGCTCTGGAAAAGGTCTGGCTGAGCCTGGGAGGCTGAGACAGGGTGGGGAAAATGCCAGCCGACGAGCCAAAGACCCGGCTTTTGAGGGTCCAATTCTGCTGTGAACTAGCTGATGGTGTCTCTGGATCTGCACAATGGGCGTGACAGTACAGATGTTCCATATATATTGCAAACATTAAATCCAAATGATAGGATGCCACTGTCCCACGTGATGGGAAAGAGGAGGCACCCTTGGAGAAGGAAATTCATTTAAACAAGAGCCCAGGCTCTGGGGCAGGGAGGTATTATCTTTGTGCCCGGGGAGGCACTTAGGGTAAGGAATAGATGCTTGGGCTTCCTTCCTCCACGTGGTGGGCAATCATCCCCTTAAGCTGGCATAGCTGGTCAGGGATGTCAGTCCACCATCCTTTTTGTCTCAGCTTTTCAGACTGAAAGGAGTACATGGACTGTGTAAGCCAAGGCGCAATCATGACCTCAACTCATCCTACACAGAGCTTGAGTCATTGACAGTCCACCCGTTCCTTCTCATCGTAGAGAGCACAAATCCCTCATTTACTTCTCTGTAAGCTCTGTGAAGGGAGGGCGGTGGCAGTCATGGTCATTCCCCTATTTGACTGCTGTCTGTTTACCCAGAAGACTGCAGGCTCCATGAAGGGAGAGATACAGGAGGGAATCCGTGCACACCTCCATGTACAACCAACGTGCCCTCATGAACAGCCAGAGAGCATGGAGTTTCCCCATGGTTGAGACATGCTCATCCCAAGAAATTCCAAATGACTCCTCAGAGTTATCATGAAGGAGGTCAGGGACAACTCCCAAGGCAATGATGGAGCTGAGTTGCAGGGTAAGGGGGATGATGGAGAGTGTTGGTGGGAGCATCCCAGGTGAGCAGGCAGCATCTGCGAAGGCCTGGCCACCACCCAGAGGACCGCGGATGCCTCTGCAGAGTTATAGGCAGACAAGGGATAAAATCTGGTTTGTGTTTCTAAAGGACCTGTAGGTTGCTTTCATTAAACCAGTTTGGGTTGGTTTTTTGTTTTTTTTCTTTCCACAAAACAAGAAAAGAAAAAACCAAGTCAATTAGAAGTAATGATTTTGGAATGCATCTTACTCTTGCTTCCCTGTCCAGGCTCCATGGAGAGGGGGAGTTTATCACAGTGATTTTAAAAACGGTGACCCAGGGGACAAGCCCCACTGGAAACAGTAAAAGTGTCACTGAAAAGTTGGCTGCAAGTCAGATTTTTCTAGACTGAATCCTGCTTTAAGTGCAGAGTGGAAACTTGCTGCGTGGAATAATTATGTGGCAAAAATTGTTATGAAAGATGGTTTTTAGTCAAACAATCACCTACACCTTAAGTTCTCTGACTTGTAAGTGATGCATTTGGTAGCAATAAAGACCCTGAGAACTTTCCGGGACCTCAGAGTTCTTAGCTCCAATCCCTGCATGGGGAGACTGAGGTCCTGAGGGGTCACAAGGACGATGAGTGGCAGGAACACCACTCTGTGTGGGGTGACCCTCTGGCAGATATTTAGTTAAACTGATCCCTGTAGGCATGGCTCAGATGGTAAAGAATCTGCCTGCAATGCAGGAGACCCAGGTTCAATCCCTGGGTTGGGAGAAATCCCCTGGAGGAGGAAATGGGAAACCACTCCAGTATTCTTGCCTGGAGAATTCCATGGATAAAGGAGCCTGGTAGGCTAAAGTCCATAGGGTCACAAAGAGTCAGATACGACTGAACAACTACACTTTCTTTCTTTCTTTTGTGGCGAAACAGGATCCTTCCCTCCCTCCGTTTCACTTTCAAACGTATCAAACTATCAAGATGGCTTGATCAGTCCCTGGCTCTGTACTCTGTAGATGTGAAAGGATGAGCAGTCTTTCATGTCTGACTTGGTTAAGCCGGGAGGGCAAATGAATGAGGGAAAGAAAGCATTGCCATAACTTCACTTCACAGCTGTATTTATCTGGCAGTTCAGTTTGTCAGTTCAAGTGGAAAAAGGACCATAGCGGGGGGTGAGGGGGGTGTTCTAAGGACAAATGACAATGGGCATTCTGAAAAGACAGTAACTTTTTCTTTTTGTATGGCATTTAAAGCTCAGACTTGAATTCCCCATTCAATTAAAACACCCACCAAGAAGAGGCACCAATTGAACTGTGTAATACAGATAACTGGTATTCTTTTAGGGAGGAGGAACCATTCCAGGCGCCAGAATTGGTTCCCTCCTTACAGGGAACTAGTGAGAGGAGGGCAGGTTGTTGCAAGAGTGACGTCTTGAGGGGCCTGGAGGGGAGCTCCTACTGCTGACCAAGCTTCCCTGCCCTCCTCCGGGAAGCCTTGGTAGGACACTGAGAGGGGATGGGAAGTGGGAGGGTAGATGCTTCCCTCCCCAAGAGGGGTTTCCTCCAGCTTGGAAGTTTATATAAGTTTTGGCAGCCCACCTGTGCATGACGGGGGCGCCTTGGGAGAGGTGCCTAGAAAGGATGAAAGCAGAGCTGGAAGGAGGCCCAGGAAGGTGGGGGAGGCCTGGCCAAGGCCGGCTCCCTGCCCAGTCCCGGCTCTGGAGCAGAGGCTGAGGGACTCCAGGGCTGGCTCTGCACTTGGCCAGCCACGTGACCATGGGCTAGCTATTTCAGCTTTCTAGGCCAGTTTTACTCCCCAGTAAAATGGGGGGGGGGGGGGTGTATTTAATACTGCATATCATATAAAGTTGGTTTTTAAAAAAATATATTTAATTTATTTATTTGGCTGCACCAGGTCTTAGTTGTGGCCCTCGGGATCTTTAGTTGTAGCATGCAGGATCTAGTTCCCCGACCAGTGATGGAACCCAGGTCCCCTGCACTGGGAGCGTAGAGCCACTAGACCACCAGGGAAGTCCCACAGGTAAAGTTGTGGAGAGAATGAGAGACAATAATGTGTTTAAAGTGCTCAGCATGGGGTCTGATATATGGGGATGATCTGTCATCGCCATCATCACTGTGGTTGTTGCAGTGGGACTTGAATTCTGAACCTGTGACTTCCGATATGTGGAAAGCCAAGCTCTCAAATGAAATGAGTTTATCTTAAGTATATGTTCACTCTAGGAAGCAGGCACTTCCGGGCAGGATGACAGACTGTGGTCTTGCCAAGAGCTTCTACATGTGAGGGAACCAAGAAGCCTCCTCGGGAAGAAAGAACTCTCTTCCAGCTAGGGAGCATCAGGCTTGGTCCAAGGGTAAGAGCGAGGGCTGGACAAAAAGAAGGTGGTTATGAATGAACGTTGGATGGGTTTGATTTTTTTTTTCTTTAACCCATTGCCCTTGAACATGTGTAATTATGAGGGTGTAAGAAGAATCTGGGCTTCCCAGGTGGAGCAGTGGTAAAGAATTCATCTGCCAGTACAGATCCCCTGGAGTAGGAAATAGCAACCCACTCCAGTATTCTTGCCTGGAAAATTCCATGGACAGAGATGCCTGGCGGGCTGCAGTCCATAGGGTCACAAAGAATCAGACACGCCTGAGCATACATGTACAAGAACCTACCCTGGGATCCCTGTAACAGAGGGTGTTTTCTCTAGTTTGGTGGGTATCATGGTGTTGCTTATGGGCGCTATGAGACTAAACACTGTGTTCTGGCACCCAGAGCTGCTATAGAGAAATGAGACCAACCGTGTCCCCATCCAGGCCCATGGCTCAGACATCACCCAAATCACTGGATTTTCCACCAGGAGCAACTCATGCTTGGCGTCCCACAGTACTGAGAGGCCCACAGACATAGGAAGTGGCAAATGATCCCAGCAGGGAGCCTTAGCAAAAGAAAGGAAAATGAGGATGTTTGAGAGCGCATGTGCAATGTTCCCTGGCATCCTCAGAAACTGGAAAGGGTCTTTGAGGAGGGGCTGGCAATTCTGAGAGAACTGATGAAAGCAGAGAGAGTGAGAACAGCCTGTGCCGTGGTTCTGATCCCAGTTTTCCCCTCAGGCTGGTGTGACCTAGGAAACACACATTGTGCAAGTAAACAAATCATTATTATGAGCCTTAAAAGATCCAGCTTGGCCCTGCCTCCTTTTACACTCAGACTTGCAAACTGGTGTCAGTTTAAGTGGCTTTCTCAATAGAGCAGGGTTTTTGAAGCGGCAAGTCAGCTGCATTAGTGGGTTGCAAAATCAGTCTAGTAGGTGAAAACAGAATTTTAAAGAATAAAATAGTTTTGAATCTAAAATTGGACTTTATTACACCTATAAGAGTAGCTGTTGGGATTTCACTGGTGGTTCAGTGGGCTGAGAGTCTGTGCTCCCAATGCAGGGGACCTGGATTCGATCCCTGGTTAGGGAACTAGATCCCCATTCTGCAGCTAAGACCTGGCACACATCAATTTAAAAAAAAAAAAAAAAAGAGTAGCTATTACCTTGTGAAGTTTTAGTTTCCATTCTTTGGGTATGTATATGTGTGCGTG